AATATGATAAGAACATGTTATTTCACAAAATCTCATCAAAGATAAGAATAAGTGAATCACACACTTTATTGACTTCTGCAGGCCCCAGGGGAATCCTGTACTGCCTTGCACAAACACTTTGTTTTGCCTGCCTATAGGTAAAATACTCAGGAGAGACTTCATATGAAAGCCAAAGCAGCTTTTATTGCTCCCACTATTTCTATCAAATTCAAAATTAGATCTGTCTGAGTAAATCAGCTTGACACTCCTGTAATTTTTGGTTAAATTTGTATTTTAGGTTGGCACGTAGAAATCCCTCATTATTCAGTAAGAAAGTGGCTACCATGGGAATCAAAAATGTAGTCATAATTTCAAAAAATGTATTACATTTAAGAAATGCAGGTCTTGCAAAATAATTTTATATTTTCAGGTAAAGCCCTTCAGTTTCATAAAAACATTAGTAATCTGAAAACAGGCAGAACCAACAGGTTGTGCTCTGGTGCTCTATTTCGGCTGAGAAAAACATAAAAGGAGCACAGCAAGGGTTCAAAACCCCAAATATTTGTACATCCTAATAAAAAGGAAGAGAAAGGTCAAAAGAAGTAACATTTATAGACTAAAAAGTTAAATATAGTCATCAAATATTTGTCTCTGGAAAAGTAGGGGCCAAAGGAGATTCCAGTTCTCTCTTGCCCAGTTCTTTTGTGGATTCTTATCTTTGCAAGCCTTGCAGGAAATCAACGCAATCAGAGTTGTTCTTGTTGCAAAGAGGCTAATTAAAATGCAAATAGATCTATAGTGGTTTTGTTAATGAGGTAAACAACTTCCTCTTACAGTACAACTCTATCTACAAGACCTTTCAGACATCCCTTATTCACACTGGTTTATCTATTGCCTTGTCTTGTCCTCTCCTAATTACCGAAAGTGAAACAAGCTGAAGAATAAAATTATCTATCAGTTGTTCAGTGGAGGTACATAAAGTACCATAAACAGGAAGATGATCTGGATGACTTGGTCAGGTCCATTGTTCTAGGAAATTCCATCATCCTCAGTTTTCAATAAATACTTCAGAATGTATTTTAATGCCCAAACCAGGATGTCAGACCAGAGTGACTTCATGCTTGAATGCTCCATAGTTTTTTATAAAGTAAGCTGTCCCACTGGTGAACTGGGAACACCAGTGAAATTTAGAATCCCAATTTCATCCCTGATGAAATTCAGCAAGAACTTAAGAAAAGATATACACAAGAAGCACCAGTGAATATGAGTAAGAAAATCAAAGACCCTAGGGAAAATCAGGGACTATTTAAAAAATGCAGACTTTCTGCATGAGGCATGCAGAACTGGGGACTGAGCTAATATAGGCTGGAGCTTGTGCAGGAAATATAATCTATAGGAAATCTCTATATTCTGAGAATCACAGGAATATATGGTGGGAAGAGATCATCTGCTCAAAGCACATCTAGTTTGAGCAGGTCACCAAGGGCCACTGTCCAGCTGAGTTCTGCATATCCAAAACCTCATCAGGGCAAATCTTATCTTCAGCTCAGTCACTCTTCCACTCCTCCATGAAATCACCCACCTGTTCCTGACTATTACCAGTGACTTACTTGCCAGTGAACAAAGGGATTTTTAATAAAAACTTCAGGTTAGTCGGCATCAGACATTTTGTAAATTCACATCTTCCACTTGCAAGATAACTTTACACTTTAGATGAATTATTTAACTATTCTAATTTCTGTTCATTTTGTAATTTACTTTAAAACTACCAAAACATTGGAAAAGAAGTGCCAATTACTTAGGAAAATCACCCATAAATATATTTGACCAAGGAGACACAGGATGGCATCAATACAAATTGCATTTTAAATTGGAGCAACATTGAACAATCAGAAAACATGCCTAGCAGTGCGAAGAAAAGATACACAATTAATTAGTACTTCTGTCATCTGAAAACTGAAAACACTGCAAGCAAAAGATGTTAGATAATGAAATTAGTTGGACAGAGGTGCATAAAATGTCTTAGAAGAGTTGGCACTGACTGGTGTAGTCTGATACCACACCACTCTAATTTTTGCATGGAAGCAATCAGAACAGAAAAGACAGCAGTTAAGTGAAAGCAAATGACAACACAAACCCCTTTTCCATGAGAAAATGGCATAGCCTTTGACTTTTGTGACTGCAGAATCTCATCAAAGCTAAGCTGTACTGAGAAAGCATGGAAATTACATTTAGATGTTATGTTTCACTGTGTACAAGTGATATGCATGCAGAAATTCAAGCCTCCTCCTGTAGGCAACTTCAAGGAATTAGGGCAGTGATAAGTTAATTTAGTCTAGTCCTCATTAAATTCTGGGATATGAATAGCTCACAAAAAAAAAGAAGAAACATTTGCAAAAAGGCATTGGGAAATACAAAGCTAAGTTTCAAACAATTTGAAAAAAGCAGCTCTTTTGGTTATTCTAAAAGTGATTACATTTTAATAACTTTCCAAAGACCTAGGAGGTGTTCATATACTTGCTGTATGCTTTGTAATTACCACAGAGTTACACAATATTTAATTCCAATGTCAACATATGTGTTAGCACGGTACAATTTAGTTCTCAGATGGGCGGCATATCCTCATATCTGAGAACTCCTAGGTTTCCTTAGAGTACAGATTTTTACAGGTACTTGTGTATTTTTCAGAAATATATCCAGAAATATATATGTTTTCTTGAAATACTTATCATATATTCCTCAGAATTGAAAACTTTGTATTTGTTTAAATTTGGGGTCTATCTTTCTGAATACTCACAGCAATTTTTTCAAATTGACTAGTATATGAATCCAGAAAATATTGTTGTTCTAAGTAAGCTATATGCTGACAAATTTAAATAATAGTGCACTTAAAGCAGGCAATCAGCACTGAGCTAAACTGCATAATTTAGCCTGACAAAAGAATTCCCTGATGACAGTGGTATTTTCATGCTCATGTTGTAATGATTATATATCTTACTGCATAATTTCAAACAGAAACAAAGTAGACAGATGGCAAGTAGAAGAAAACATCCAAACAACTGCAAATGTAAATACAAAAGAAAGGGGATTACAAAAAGTGAAAGAGTGGAAAACTACAATTAGCCATTTAATTATATTTATTTGATAGTTATCTAAGTACTTTCAACTAGGACCCCTATTCATCATAATGCTCATAGCCCATGACATTTGGCCAGGAAATCCAGCCTGGGAAATCCATCAGAGCTGGTGAGCAGGGTAGGGGGGCTCAGGGGAGGGTGGGGGCTTCCTGGGAAGCAGATGATAGAGCTGCTTGGACTGCTGGTGCCAGGAGAAGGGAGAGAGGGTCTGGAAAAGTGTGCCACAGGGTCAGCAGTGGGTGAGTGCAGCGACACATAAATTAGATGGGAAAGAAGGAGGAGCTTTGCTGCAGGAGAAATTTTTAAATTAATCAGTTCACTAAGCTTAATGAGTGATGTGAAAGTACCTACCTATTATAAACAGCTTTAGTGAATTAATGTTGGCATCAACAGTCTGCTCCCTACTCATCTGAGGCCTTCAGCATATACTTGACATTCAGCTTGTACTTTGTTCAGTTAAGTGTACATGTAAAATAAAACTCAGTCTCAAAGGCTTCCTGAACTGGGGATTAACATCCTGCTGAAGTAGGGAGGACAGACAGAATACCAAATGTATTGAGCGTTACCTGTTTGACAGTAGCATAACGTAGCAATGAACAAGCAGATTTTTCAGGCTGGGAGGAGCTTGGGAATGCCTGGATTTTCACTGAGGCAAGGAGGGTAAGTGCCAAGAGCCAAGGACCAGGAGGACTGGTAGAGATGAATGTGGTGGGAGGAGGAGATTCACTGCCAAACAGGCAGCTCGTCTCTGTCTTGGCCTCAGAGCCAGAATGGTGCTGTGGCACTCATTACTGTGGACACACAGACTGGGTGTGTGAGGTGCCAGAGGGACAGAGTTTGTATTGATCATGGTATGAGGACAGCTCCTGGGGCTGCTGCTGTGTGCCTTCACCTTCCCTTCTGCTCAAGCAGGACCAGGCTTTCATCTGTGAGCAAAGATGGGATCCAGGGACAAGGCACTGCACAGAGCGCTGGGCACAAACAGACTCTGCTTGTGCAGGCAGGGGTGTGGAGCAAAGGGACAGCTGGGTAAGGCTCCTGTGATGGCATTTCTTATCAGCTGTTTAATACCAGCCCTGGCTAAACCAAAGGAGTCCATGCCCTGCTGCCATCCCCTCCTCTTATCCATCCTGCTGTGACACCTCCTGGTTCTGTAAGTGACTGGTTCCTCCTCCATGAGCAGTTCAAGGTTGTAACACAACCTGAGGAAGCTCAGAGGTCCTGTGCCAGCTGGTAAGAGCATGCTTTTTAGTCACTCGTGTAAACAATACCAACAAAACAAAAAAATAATACCGAGGAAGAGAGCGGGCTAACATCTCACTAACTAAAAAGACTGAGAATGTGAATGCTCCATCTTTTCACTTCATGTGCTAATGGTGTAACATAACAGAAACAATTCAGAAAGCAGAAAGTGTTTGTGAGCCGGCTGTGCAAGGAAATGTCAAGTGTTTGCAGCGTGGATTAGGAGAGCAGTGTGGCGGGGTTTGGTGGAGATAGGAGCGCTGAGGTTGGGGCACTCCGGGCGGCTGTGCCGTGGCTGTGCTGCGGGGCAGGCAGAGCAGGGCAGAGCAGGGCAGAACAGAGCAGGGCAGAGAAGAGCAGGGCAGAGCAGGCAGGGCAGAGCAGGGCAGAGCAGGGCAGAGCAGGCAGGGCAGAGCAGAGCAGGCAGAGCAGAGCAGGGCAGAGCAGGCAGGGCAGAGCAGAGCAGAGCAGAGCAGGGCAGAGCAGAGCAGAGCAGGACAGAGCAGGGCAGAGCAGAGCAGAGCAGAGAAGGGCAGGCAGGGCAGAGCAGGCAGGGCAGAGCAGAGCAGGCAGAGCAGAGCAGGGCAGGCAGGGCAGAGCAGGCAGGGCAGAGCAGAGCAGGGCAGAGCAGGCAGAGCGCACCATTCATCCCCCAGCAGGGCCGGGGAGAGACTCCAGTCCAGCTCCCACACAAATCTGCGCCGGGTTTGAAGAATCACTCGGACCTGCCGAAGCCAAACCGTGACAAGCACAAGTGCCTTTCGAACCGAAGGCTGCAGCTTTGCGGGGAGCAGGCTGAGGAGGGGCACGGGCAGACATGGCTCGTAGGGGGCCGGGTGCCCCGGGTGTGCCCTTAGCTTCAGACATGAGGAGAATGCACTGAGGATCAGCACCAGCCCTTTGGACAACAGGCAACTCGGCAGAGGATGTCCTATCAAGATGAATATGGCTCATTCAAGAATTAACTCTCTACTCATCTTCTACCTCAGTTTTGTGCTGCTCATCCATTTAAAAAGTAAGATTTGCACTTTTTCTTATTGTTCTGACATGTCCTCTGGGGAGGTGGTTAGAATGCACTTCTAGCAAAAAGCTTGTGTTGTCAGAAGGCTTTAAAAATTTGATGGAGATGCCAAAAAAATTTGGTCCATGAAACTAAGTCGTATGAACTCGACTTCTACTTTTTTATTTTTTTAAATAAGGAACGAAAGCATTTTGTTGCTTCACATATTCAAGGTACAGTAATAAATTACTTTGTTAAAACTGTACCTATACTTTAAAGTCTGTTTTTTTTTGATACCACTCATTTAGTAAATCTAAATATTTCTGATTTAAATTTAGACTAATTTATCCTCTGTTTAAAATGTTCATGTTACGTTTTCCAGTAGTATTGCTTTATTATATACACTTTTTAAACTACAGCCTCTAGAGAAAGCAGTTATTAAACAATTGTGAGGTATTTGGTGTTGTAAAATATGTCCATTATTAGGGAGCATGAAAGTCTAACTACTTTTATAGAGAAAAAATGTTCTCGGCAAACTTCCACATAAACAGAAGTGTGCAAGATCGAGGAAATCACAATGGGTTTCCTTGATAATTGTGTCAGATGGCTGAGAGTAAATACAAGCCAAGGAGGCTAAATGGCCTCAGCTGGTGAGGCTGCTGTGTGTGTGTGAAAAGCAGCAGCTCTTGAACATGTTTAAAATGAAGATCTGCAGGATGGTGTGCCTGAGGAGGCTGTTTGATTTGTGTCTGATGCATGTGAATAGCAATAACACAAAGCTTTGAGCAGCTGCCATTAAACAAGAAGACTTGGCATTAGCGTTCTGTGTTTTGTAATCTGGGTCACCTTCTGTTGCTGCATCACTCAAATTGTTACTTGGACAGTTTACAGCGCAACATAAATTAAAGACTAAAAAGCAAACAGATGCAGTTGAATCAACAAGCACTCAAAAAAAAAAACCAAAACCAAAAAAAAACCAACAAGCCCACGCTTGAAAATATAAGAAAAATACAGAATGTCATAGAAACATCATTTTATGCTAGTAATTTTCTTTTTGGGGATGTACTGATGTGAATCAGGGAAACCAAAGTGCTTTTTCTAAATTAACTCACAACAGGACATACCCTAAAAAAAAAAAAAAATAAGAGAGAGACTGGACCTTTAACTTTCACAAAGCAATTTTCAAAGTCTACATCCTGTAGGAGGAACAACCAGAAACTCTCTTAGTAGTGTTAGTTAAGAAAATTTCATTTTTCCATGAGGCAAGTAAATCAGAACAAAATATAAAAGCTTTGGGAACAGGAATTAAAAGTTAAGTTCTTATAAATTAAGAAGGTCACATAAAGAACATAATGCAGAAAGAAACCATTGCTAGAATGAAAACAAGAAAAAAGCCCTCAGGACTCAGTTTAAAGAAAGAAGATAAATACAACTTTTGACTTTCACCTTTGGTGAGCTTTGCTCAATGTAGGATGCCAAAGGCAAGGAAAGTAATTGTGTGTCATTTTATGAAACGGAAAAGTCTTTAGCCCATTAACTGGCATGACATCTCAGATGTGGCACGGGTGTTCTCTGGTTATGGCCATATGGCCAATCCCAAGCAAGGGGCTTTTCAGTCTTGGAGAACTTTCTCGGGTAGAACTGTGGCTGTTGTCACAAACTGATATCCCAGGATGGAGCAGCTTCATTGGGAACCAGAATCGGGCTCAGGACCATACCTTCTAAATAAATAGTATTTAGAAGCCATGAACTCCATATGCAAGCATTCAATACAAGTTGGGTTTGTCTGGCATTTTGTGAACATCATTTGTTTCTACAAATCATACCAAATGAACTACTCACAGAAAATTAATCTGGGGGCATCCAGATGCCCAGCTCTGTGTGAGGAGGGACCAAGAATCATTATGTACAAAAGGTGACAGGAAGCATGTCCCAAGTCCAGAATAACACTGATGACTCCTTGCTAGTCTAATAGGAATTACAAGCATGAAACTGTGGGCAGGGAGTTGCTTATGAAATAGAGGAAAAGAAATTCTGATAAATACAGGTGTATTTACACATCAGATTTGGAAGTGATTCTGTCTGAAGTCAAGTTCAAAATCTTTTCATTCAACATTCAAGTACTGATTTTTTTAAACAAGTTTTACAATGGATTACCTAGCACTACTGCAGTATTGTCTTTCTTTTGGGAAAAATACAGAGAAATAATATTTTAAGGTCAAAACTATTGCCCATATAAGCTGTGGATGCCGCATCTCTGAAAGGGTTCAAGGCCTGGTCTAGTGGCAGTTGTCCCTGCCCACAGTAGGGGTGCTCAAACTAGATGATCTTTAAGGTCCTTTCTAACCCAAACCATTCTGTGATTTTATTTTTCTCCATTTTAGTGACCTTTCAGCAGAGCCAAAAAAATATATTATTTACTTCAAAATCAATGCTTCATTAATTGTTCAAATGTTCATAAATTAAGAATGGAAATTCATTTGGGATTGCTGTTAATGTGAGCAAAATATCTGAGCTTTACTTGCAGCCTTTTTCTACCCCTCTGAGATGTGCAATTTTTCCCTGCGGACAAGAACTCTTAATTTCACACAACTATTCCCATTACTCACAAAACTTCTAATTACTGCTTAATTACTGTGTTAGGCATAAAGCTCTGCTTATAAAGAGATTTGTGGTTTTGCTCATACTGCTCATCCCTCATGCACACTTGGCAGATGTAAGGAGCTTTCCAGCAATGTCTTGTTAGTGTGGTTTGATGAGTTCACAGCCCATTCGGCAGCTCCTCATTAGCCCTCGCTGGAGCTGAGCCTGTCAGAGCTGCACTCAGCACTCTGAGCACCAGCAGCCCTGCAGCCCTGCCTTCCTCCTGGATGTCACACATGGCATCTGGAGCACAGCAAAAATGAAACATCCTTCACATGTCTGCCATCATCTCCAGTAAGTTAAAAGCAGCAGCTTCTAGACACAGTTGTGCTGGGTTGGGGTTTTTTTCCCTTTTCATGTATATATTTTATTATTAATAACACTCCATCTCTGGAATGAAACTAAATCTTAAGAATGAAAACTAGTAGCCCTGTAACTTAGGAAAAAGGCAGTAACTTCTGCAAGATAAATGTGTAAAAGTGACATTAAGAACATCCAAGCCCCAATTGTACTTGAGCCACTCAGTTCAAATTCTTACAAGGCATCCTTAGGGTGCTCCACCTACAATTCCAAGAGCAGAGGATAACAGGTTACAGACCCCTCTCTGCTGTGTGCTCTCTAACTTGGGAACTGTCACCACTGAGAAACTCTGGAGATTAAACATTCTTTCACATCCCATTTCATCACTCAGAAATTACAGTGCAAGATATCAGCTTCTTCAAATATTTACCCCTCAAATGACAGTGATTTTGGCAATACAGGACAAGCCATTGAATGATTTATTCACAGTCACAGGACCAAAAGGGAATTCTGCATCAAGGACACAGATCAATTCTGTAAGCAGGTTGTTAGTGACTAATGACCTATTGGGAAAGAGTCTGAGGGGCCAGAAGAGAGGTTGTGCAAAAAGGTGTTTTATCATTCATGCTTAACCAGCTGCAGAGATCTCACACAGATCTTGAAAGACTGGTGTATTTTATCCTGTATCCATGAAAATGGACTGGAGAAACTGAGGCTGGAAAGTTAATTTAATACAATCAGAGGATACAAACCTAATGTTGTAATATATATATAAACTTTTCAAAGGTGTGCCCACACAAAGTTTGTCTATCTCTCTCTCCCCCCACAGTTTTTTGACAAACCTTAAGCACTAGGGAGTCTTTTCCTTGTGCAAATCTCTACACCTTTTCCTCTCTGTTAGAGAAAGCTCAGGAAAAAAAACCAAAAAACAAAACAACCCAGTGCTGTTTAGAGAGTGCTCAAATTTTGATGGCCAGATTGGGCACTTCCTCACTGAAAAGTTACAGGGAAAGGCAAATATTTTGCTGGTTTGTGTTGACAGTAAAATGACTTGTAAGGCACAGGAGAGCAATCAAACCACTGTTCAGTACTGGCTGTTTCCAGTTTTGAGTGCTGCTGTGAGCAAAAGAGAGGCAATTAGGAAAATGCTGGAAAGGGACAGCAAAAATAGGGACACATTTATAAAGATGTGTCCTCTGAGAAAGGGTCACAGGAAGAGAAGCCTGAGGGAAGACATGATTACAGTCTTACCTCCACAAGAGAATGGCAATCAAGGACGGTGATGAGATCAGTTGCTCCCTGTCACCTCTAGAAGGGCAGGCTCTGGAAAATAATAGATTCCATGTACATCAGGGAAGATTTGTGTGAACTTTCCCAACTGAAGGATAATTAAGACACTATATCAGAACTTTTTAATGAATGGGTTAGATAAATATCTGCCAGAGATTGTCTAGACTGCTGTCTCACAGCTGGTGTTACACAGACCAGGGGCAGTCAGCACCACCCTGGGGGATCTGTGAAGGTCTCAGGGGACAGAGCCCAGAGAGGCACAGGTGGGGACTTGTCCCAAGGGCTGTGGTGGCACTGAAGCTCCGGGGCAGCTCAGGAACAGCTCTGGGGCAGGGTGAGCAGATGGCTCCCTTCCCTTCTGCACAACTGGGGATTATGTGCTGTGCAAAACAAAGGCAGCCCTGAACTCAGCCCCCCGTGTTGCAGCAAAACCAGAATTGTTGCCTAAATTTCAGTGAGAAAATAGTTTACTCCCATTCTTTGAGACAGCAAGACCTCTTATTTTTTGGTACCCTAGACTTAAAATAAATACTTTGGCTACTGAAGGCACTGATTAAAATGAGAACAGAAAGTACCCCCATGCTAGAGATCATGTAGTTTGATTTCTGGCTTTTGGAGTGAAATCACTTGTATTTTTACTTGATATGTTGATAGTGTGATGCAAGAAAATATAACTAATGAATGGATTATCAATATAAAAACTTTCATGGTCAGAAACCTGAAAAGGAATAGAAAACATGGATTGCATGCTGAACCTGCCAGCTTTTCACTTCATATAAAAA